TTTGGGTTGGCCTCTGAAGCTATAGGGCCTCTCTGTCCAGTAGCTTGGGTTTATCGTCTCTATTGCACTTAACACTAGTGTGGGCAGTTTTTAAATATCCCAACCTGAAAAAAATAAAAGGGGGGGATGATGGAGAAATCACCTACGGGTAGGCTGCACCTAGCTTTAATTACTCTAAATTTTTTCACTTGTGATGCTGATGGAAAGACACCTATGGAGCTACATTGGTGTCAGAATAAAACAAAAGAAAATGGTCTAGTTAAATGGAAGGATCCCGAATCTGGTTTATGGAAGGGACCTGACCCATTATTAACCTTTGGTAGAGGGTATGCTTGTATATTCCCAGAGAATTTTTCCAAACCCATATGGATTCCTGCTAGAAATATTAAACTGCATCAGGAATCTAGCCAAACTGAAGATCTTGCGCCTGGAGCCATAACATGTAGCTGTAAACAATCAACTACCTCAGCCACAGAGAGCAGCGCTCCAAGCAGTCCACTGAAGATGAGGAACAGGAGGAAGACAAACCAGACAACCAACAGCCTAGAGACCACCTGGGGCACTGTAAAGGGAAGTATGGTAACAATCCTTTCAGGTAAAAACTATAGTTTCATACTGGTCTTAGAAGGCACATTTTTCCTTTACCTCGGAAGGACAGCATAGCTATCCCAAGGTCAGAGGGCTCCAGATAACTTGTCAACTCAGTGCTCTGGAGACCCAGAACTGTAATTTAGATAGCATACTGTGTCTGCTTCTGTAAATTTCTTCTTTTTTTTTGAAAACTAGGTTCCTCATTACAAACCTTGAATTTAAAATTAAGTTGTCATGACCTAGAGCAAAGAATATTCTTACATGGTATTATTCTACAAAGTTTTATTAATAATTTTTGATGCTTTACAACAGTGTATTGTGCATTTATCCCAAACAAATTTACAAATGAATTTGAATGTATTACATGAAGGGATTTATTCCTTTCCACTGTGTGGAGGGCCTCCTGGGGAAGGCACTTAAGCATTCTGTATTGACCTCTCTCAATTTTTTTTTTGCCAAGAGGATTCCAATTGTCTTCAGCTGTTGTCTGAGCTCTCCGTTCAAGCTGAGATAATGAAAAGCTGGTACCATGGATCTGTCTCTGGTCCAATGGCATAAGCTGGGCCCTCTCTGGAGAAGGAACCTGGGTTCCCTATGATCAATGCCGGGGCCCCGCCAGCAGATGAGGGGATCCAAAGGCAGTTGCTGGGCATAGAGGCCAGAGGGACAAAGGCTATCAAGGAGACAGAACTGAACCTCACATCACCCTACTTGGCCCAGAGATGGCTGGTAGTCAAAGACGGGTAAGCCCCCACAGGGTGGGGCGACCTAAGACAGGCACAGTCGGGGGCCAGTAGGAGAAAACTTGGGGTGCAACAAAGGTGGGGCACAGATCCTTACCCCCCCCCCAATGGTGCAGGGGCTTGAACACTCGCCCCTTCTGAGGAAGGTCTCCTGTCCCCATGGCTGCTTCTTGCTTCCCATGCCCAGCCCAGATCAGGAACCAAATAACAAAAGAGATTTGGTCCAGCTGAAATCAGAATCCAGATAAACGGAGGCTTGGCTAACAGACCCTATGTCTAAACCTAGCCTAACAACAGGAATGCTTGGGCCTTCACAACGATGTAAAGTGATCCCCTTTTCATTAATATTTACAGTGTAAATTAAGATTATTGTTAAAATATTAAATTTGACAGTAACATAGTTGTCAAGTTTTCAAATTAAATTTGGCTAACTTGAAAGAAGTGATTATTCAAAAAGTATTAACCAAAATTTTCATTTCGTGGTAAACATGCTATGAACCTAAAGCATGTTCAGGTTCATTTATTTGTGTGCAAAAAATTAATATTTAAAGCTATCTAGACTGCATTATAAAATTTCCAAGGAGCCTCCTAATTAAATCAAAAAAAGGGGGATAGTGGAAAAATATAGTGGAAAAATGCCATCTAAGAAAATAGATCTTAGAACTAAATTAAAATTTTTTCGTTAGTGAGACACCCAGAAAAAACACACATTATGCCAGGGTAAGCCAGGAAAGATCATGTTATAGAAAAGACCCCAAGTAAGGTTTTTTTCTTTAACCTTTGGTCGAGAATATGTTTGTATACTTTCAGAGAACAACTCCAAGACCATGTGGATTCCTGCAACAAGGGATCCCGGAGAGAAACTGACCAGATTGCTCCAGCCACAAAGACAGGAGAGACAGTTCAGAGATGGAGATGGTAAAGACGCCTTGCCATGCTAGCAGTCAGCAGCTGTGCTGCGCTGCAGGGTGCCCAGGACCAAACCAGAGAGGACCGGACCTGCATTTGTCCACCATCCAGAACCAGCATTTCATTGCTGGCATGTACACATGAACTTTTGGACATTGAAACTTGGACTCAGAACTGTTGGACATTGATTTTGGGACTTAAACATTTTTTGTTCTTATATGTTTATTTCTGATTTTTCAAGGAAAAAATAAGGGGGAGATGTGGGAAACTGTTTATTGCCTTCACTCTCTGATAAGCGTAGACAGAGAACCCCCTGAAGGCTGGGTGCCTTTGAAGCCCTAGCAAAGGTCCGAGCTAGGCGCCACCTCTGTTTGTCCAGACAGTGGTAGCTGAAACTACTCCCCCACTTATTATTATGTAAATCCTTGCTGATGGGCTAGTCTGCTTGTTACTAGGGGGTCATCTGCCTAAGGGCTATGCTATGGGTGCATCCCAGATCAATAAAAGCTTGGTGAGGCCTGGGCACGGAGGAAGTCCTTCTGGACTTGGCCTCCTGGTCCCCCAATATTTTCAAATTATCTCGTGTCTTTTTCTCTCATTTGTTGTGCGGCTCCTCTTTCAGATACCGAACCCTACTCCACGCAGAACGTGGAGGGAGTCTTACTCGGCAGGGTCTCTAGTAAAAATGTAATAATGGAAGTGATAGAGAGAAAATAAGTCAGAAACATTAACTAGAAAGAACCAAGAAGGAGAGGATATGCTGAAACTTTAAAAGTCCACACTAAGGCAATGCTTATGCATCACCTGAAAGCAGTGGTGGAAAGAAGTGGTTTCTGGGGCCAGAATATATCTAGAGTGTTGGAGTTGGGCAAGGGGACAATTAGCAGGAGTCCAGTGGCTATGAAATTAGCAGGAGATGAGCCTGAGTGGTAAAAGGAGGGGAAGAGTATACAGCAGAAAGTGTGATTAGAGTAGAGCCTGGTTACATCTCTAGCCATGAGAACATTAGGCTAAGTGAAATAAGCCAGTCACAGAAGGACAAATACTGCATGATTCCACTTATATCTAAAATAGTCCAACTTGTTCTGGCCAGTGTGGCGCAGTTAGTTGGAGCATTGCCCATGCACCAGAAGGTGGCAGGTTCAATTCCCAGTCAGGGCACATACCCAGGTTGCGGGTTTGATCCAGGTAGTGGCACATGCAGAAGGCAATCAATCTATGTTTCTCTCTCACATCCATATCTCTCTCTCTTCTCCCACACCTCTCTCCCTTTCTCTCTCTAAAATCTTTTTTTTTTTTAATTAAAGTTGTCAAACTCATAAAAACAAAGAATAAAATAGTGGTTGATTGTGGAGCGGGGGGTGGGGGTGGGAGGGTGGGGGTGGGGAGGAGAAGGAAGAGGGAGTTACTAACCAGCCTGTATAATGGTATAATATTTACGTTACACCAGTTGAATATGTTCTAGATCTGCTGTACAACATTGTGTCTTTAAATAACAATACTGTATCAACAACACTTAAAAAATTGTTCTTATCACAATGAGTGAGAGAGAGCCACTTTTTTGTTGTTGTTAATCCTCACCGGAGGATATTGTTCCATTGACTTTTAGAGAGAGTGGAAGAGAGGGGGAGAGACAGAGAGAAACAAACATAGATGTGAGAGAGACACATTGATTGGTTTCCTCGCACAAACCTGGACTAGGGACCAGGGCCAGAGATCGACCCAAGTAAGTGACCTTGACCAGCATCAAACCTCAGACCCTTCAGTCCTCTGGCAGACGCTCTATCCACTGAGCCAAACCAGGCACTTCTGAAGTTTTTACTCCTCTGATTTCTATTGTCTTCAGGAAAACATAAGAATTCTTTATTTACAAACTCTGGTTCTCATGCAGCACTTCCAGCCAAAGTACCATTTTATTAACCTCCATTGTATGTTTTAGTCATCTGAGCATGACTGTACAGAATCCTCCTGTCGACATAAGTAACTTCCAAACCTGTAAAGAATTTTTATGAGATTATTTGAGCCAAACTGACAACATATGCTGGGGAACTAGATGTCAAATTCTCCCTAGAATGATATTTTCAGCTTCTTTTGTGCATTTAGTATTAAGGAGGGGATGAAAGGAAGATGTAAGGAAGGCAAAAAGCTATGGGGGGAATGTATTATAGACTGGTTAAGATTATGTGCTTTCTTGAGGGTGTTTATGGCTTATTTCAAAGGTTTGCTAACACAGATGCACAGAAACAATGGACAGGGCTTGCTTAATGCAAAGATAAACCTTTTACTAAAGTTATTTGCATCCACTGACAGACTTTGAACAATCTGATGTTGTCTGTCTGTCTGTCTTTGTGGGGGCCAAGATTGAATAGGGGACTTCATATGCCTGAAAAGAAGAAAAGAAAAAAGAAAAAGAAAGAAAGAAGTTATGTATCTGGGAGTGACTACCCACAGTGATCTGCCCAGTTAGGAATTTATGATCAGATCACATTGTGAGGTTATTTTCCATACCACCCCCTTTTTTTTCCCTTTTTTTAAAAAAATATATTTTATTGATTTTTTACAGAGAGGAAGAGAGAGAGATAGTTAGAAACATCGATGAGAGAGAAACATTGATCAGCTGCCTCCTGCACATCCCCCACTGGGGAAGTGCCCACAACCCAGGTACATGCCCTTGACCGGAATCGAACCCGGGACCTTTCAGTCCGCAGGCCGACGCTCTATCCACTGAGCCAAACCGGTTTCGGCTTTTTCTTTTTTAAAACTATGGACCACTTCACAAATTTTCATATCATCCTTGTGCAGGGGCCATGCTATTCTTCTCTGTTTCATTCCAACTTTAATATGTCTACTGCTAAAATGAGCACAAGAAGCCCTTTGTCATCCACACTCCCCAAGAAGATCTGAATTGTGAAATCCTTATACAAAGCAAAAAATTATGTCAGTTGTAAAACTAAATTCAGTCACATTCAAAGTCAGAAGAGCAGGCCAGGATTGTAAGGAGAGCCAGAGTGCACACAGTATTCCAAAGATGATCCTAACAGATGTTTTATGACTAGTTGCACTAATTTGGCCAGAGCTGTCTAGGCCATGAGTCACCCTAAAAGGTTGGCAGCAGAAATTTGTGGTTTCTGCATTTAGTTTCCAAACATATTTTACTGGAATTCCAAGTTATGATATATTTGTCAGCATAGGGGACACCAGTATGACAGTAATTATGATTAAGCACAAAATAGTATTAAAAATGTTTTGTTCAACAGTAATTTCTAATGATTTTTGTCAAATATTAATTGAGCATAGCCCTGGCCTGTGTGGCTCACTGGTTAGAAAGTCAGCCTGTGCATCGAAGGGGGGCTGGTTCAATTCTGGGTCAAGTACCTGGGTTGCCAGTTCACTCCTAGCCCCCAGGTTGGGGTGTGTGTCGGAAGCAACCAGTGGATGTGTCTCTCACATTGATGTTTCTCTCTCATCTCTCTCTCCCCCTCCCCTTCTACTCTCTCTGAAAAGCAATGGAAAAAAATATCCTCAGGTGAGAATTAATAAAAATATATATATAACATAATGGCTTGGGTCAATTTCTGGGGTCTCTATTCTGTTCAATGGATCTATATACCTGTGCCAGTACCAGCCTTTTTTATTATTATTACAATTGCTTCATAGAGCAATTCCTAATGATTTTTAATGGCTCTGTCCTTATGATCCCTCATTCTTCTACTTCTGAGGAGTATTAACTTCTTTATCTGGAATCATCTCTGCCCAGAAGCAGAGTTGCCCTGATGCTGAGAAAATTTGTCATTTCCCCTCACTTGGAAGGGCCTTTGTGAATGTTGAGAGTAGCTGGGAATTGTATTATATCTGAGGTTGGAAAGAAAGCCAGGTTGCAATCAAGAACAATTACTGAGCCCTGGCCAGTTTTGTCAGTGGTTAGGGACCAAAGGGTCATGGGTGTGATTCCCCATCAAGGGCATGTACCTCAGTTGTAGGTTCCCATGTGTGGGAGGCAGCCAATCAATGTGTCTGTTTCACATTGATCTCTCTCTCTCTCTCTCTCTCTCTCTCTCTCTCCCAGAAAACGTCCTGGGAATTTAAAAAAATACAATAAATTGTTGATTTATTCTCTTATTCTACAGAAATACTCACTTTTTTGTTTTATATTGGTAACTCCAGTCTTTTTTTTTTTTAATCCTCACCCAAGGAGTGAGTATATTTTTTCTATTGATTTTTAGTGAGAGTGGAAGGGGAGTGAGGAGAAAGAGAAACATGGATGAGAAAGACACAGAGATTGGTTGCCTCCCACACATGCCCCGACCAGCCCAGGGGCAGGGATAAAACCTGTAACCCAGGTATGTGCCTTTGACAGGGAATCCAACCCATGACCCTTTGGTCCAAGGGCTGACACCCTAACCACTGAGCAATGCCTGCCAGGGTTCTTTTTTTTTTTCTTAAAGAATCCTTAATAGTCCTTGTTTATTTTGGCTCAGTGGATAGAGCATCAACCTGAGGACTTAAGGGTCCCAGGTTCAATTCTGATCAGGGCCACATGCTTGGGTTGTGGGCTCGATCCTCGATGCGGGGGGGGGGGGGGGGGGCATGCAGGAGGCGGCCAATCAATGATTTCTCTAATCATTGATGTTTCTATCTCTCTCTCCCTCTCCCTTCCTCTCTTAAATCAATAAAAATATATATATTTTTAAAGAATCTTTAATATAATATAAACTTTAGGCCCCATTAAACCTTAATTTGCTCCTTGTCCTACCCCTAAAATCTAGGCCCAATCCTTTCCATAAGTATTGAGAATATAAGGAGTCTATAATCAACAATTCCTGGGCTTAGTTGGACCTTCCTGAGTCAACACTGATTATAGATTCCAACAACGGTATTCTTACTTCAGCAATCTTGAGACAGAACAAAGTTGAAGGCTACTGGGTATCAAAATATACTACAAGGCCATAGTAATCAAAACAGCATGGAACTGGCATAAAACAGACATACAGATCAAAGTGTTATCAGAGAAAAGTATGAATAGTCTCCCCATTGAGAATGGGAGTAGGGTTATAGGGATACCATTGAAAAAAGCATTTCCGGATGCCCCCACAGGACGATGAGATATGGTTAGAAAGCTTTATTTCTATGAAATTACATTTCTGGGTTTCCAAAGTCCCATTTTCCTTAGTCCAGTTATAGAAGAAGTATAGCTGGAGTTTCAGTAAAGCTGGAAGCAAAGACAGTGTCCAGAGTTTTCTTTCCATGTTGGAACCAGGTCCAGTTTAGCATCAGGCTAGCAGCAGACCATTAGTCCATTGTGTTTGGACTAATAGAGGAGAAAGTGACCGGAGCAACGAATCTTAAAAGCATAAAATGAACCAAGAGCATGAACTCCTTAGTTTAGGGCATTAAATATCCCAAATTTTGCAACCTTGTAGTGGCAGTGCACATTCTAGCCAATGACATGTTCCCAGGTGTGACTGACAGCAAAGTACCTTCCCTACATCACCCCAACTTTACTGGGCATGCATCTATTCTTCATCTTGTCCAGTATCTTCCCCCAGCAATCTGCGGGAATAGACCAGTGGCTCCCTGGGGAGTATAAAGCTTTAGCTTCCTAGTGAAGCTGCTCAAATGACATGCTTATAATATTTGGTCTTCCCTTTGCTCCTTTTCTGTTATTAGTAACTAGGTTAATAACAACAGTATTAAAAGGAACAGAACAGACAGCCCAGAAATAAAACCATGCCTTTATGGTCAATTAATATTTGACAAAGAAGGCAAAAATATACAATGGCAAAGTTAGTCTATTCAATAAATGGTGTTGGGAATATTGGACAGATTGGTGCAAAAAAATAAAACTAGACCATTTTCTTACACCATACACAAGAATAAAAAATGAATTAATAACTGAAATGTTAGACTCAAAACCATAAAAATTATAGAAGAAAACATAGGCAGTAAAATCTTGGACATTTCCTGTAGCAAAATTTTTTCTGATATATCCCATTGGGCATGGAAAACAAAAGAAAAGATGATCAAATGGAACTACATCAAACTAAAGAGTTTTTGCACAGCAGAGGAAATTATCAGCAAAATGAAAAAAAAAATCCTCTGAATGAGAGAATATATTCACCAATGATACATCTGATAAGGGGGTAATATCCAAAAATTATAAGGAACTTATGAAACTCATCACCAAGAAGACAAACAACCCAATTACAAAATGGATAAAGAATCTAAGTAAACCTTTATGTCCAAAGAGGGCATACAGAAGGCAAATAGACATATGAGAAGATGCTCAATATCACTAATTATCAGAGAAATGCAAATTCAAACCACAATGAGTCCGAATGGCACGGCTCAGTGGTTGAGCATCAACCTGTGAACCATGAGGTCAATTCCCAGTCAGGGCACATGCCCGGGTTGTGGGCTTGATCCCCAGTGGGGAGCATGTGGGAGGTAGCCAATCAATGATTCTCTCTCATTGATGTTTCTGTCTCCCTCTCCCTTTCTCTCTGAAAACAATAAAAACATATATTTAACAACGACAAAAAAACAGACAATGAGATAACACCTCACACCTGTCAGAATGGGTATCATCAATAAATCAACAAACTACAAGTATTGGTGAGGATGTGGAGAAAAAGGAACCCTCATGCACTGTTGGTGGGAATGCAGATTGATGCAGCCACAGTAGAAAGCAGTATGGAGTTATTTCAAGAATTAAAAACGGAACTGCCTTATGAATCAGCCATACTAATTCTGGGAATATATCTGAAGATCCTGAATCACTAATTTGAAATAATACATGCACCCCTATGTTCATTGCAGAATTATTTACAATAGTCAAGAGTTGGAAGTAGCCCAAATGTCTATCAGTAGATGAGCAGATAAAAAAGCAGTGGTACATTTACACAATGGAATACTACTGGGCCATAAAAAAAGTAAATATTACCCTTTCCAACAGTATGGATGGACCTGGAGAGCATTATGATAAGTGAAATAAGCCAGTCGGGGAAATACAAGTACCATATATTTCACTCCTATGTGGAATTGAATGAACAAAATAATCTAACAAACAAAATAGAAAGAGACTCATAGATAGAGAACAGACTGACAACAATCAGAGGCTGTATGAAAAAGATGAAAGGGTTGAGCAAAAAAAAAAACACAAAAAAAAACAAACAAACAAAAAAACACAAGGCAAAAAAAAACACCTCATAGATTCAAACAGCAGTATGCTGATTACCAGAGGGAAAGAGGGTCGGAAGAAGTAGAAGGGAGTGAAGTGGGGATAATAGTGATGGAAAGAGACTTGGCTTGGGGTGGTGAACACACAATCCTATATAATAAAGGGTAAGATGCAAATTGACCCTGACAGGAGAACAACCAGAATGACCAGAACGACCGCTGGACCAGTCACTATGAGGTGCACTGACCACCTCTTTGTCCCTTTCCCTGGCCAGCAGGCTCTGATCACCTGATGGCCACCTGCTGTTGGGGTAGGGCCAGTGAGCAGGCAGGAACAGCCGACCTCTCGGTCCCTTCCCCCGGCTGTCAAGCACCGATCACCCAATGGCGAATGGGGAACTGGGAGTGGGTGGTGGCAGGGGGCGGGGCCTGCTGCGGGCAGCTGGGGAAGATGGCCCTAATCACCTGCCAGGCCTAGGGACCATACCCATGCACAAATTTTGTGCGTGCATAATATACAGATGATGTATTATATAATGGTGTACCCGAAACCTATATAACTTTATTAACCAACTAGAGGCCCAGTGCACGAGATTCGTGCACAGGTGGGGTCCCTAAACCTGGCCATCAATCAGGGCCAATCAAGGCCTTCTGGTTGCTGGTTTGGGCCTTCCTTCATTCTGTG